ACTACTACTACTACTACTACTACTACTACTACCACCACCCAGGTTACCCAGTTGCAATCTGTCTTCCCACCAGAACGGACTTACATACGTAAAATCAGGCACCGGTCAAACAATAAGTACTAAATAATACTGAACTAATATCACGGGCCTCCAAGTAATTAACCATTCCATATGTGTACAAGGCAAGAATAATATCGCTATATGTACGCTGGAATATAATAATACAATTGCAACAACAGACTTCATAATATTAAATATTACATGAATAGTTTTTAACCATATTTTTAATTGTATAACTTTCGTTTTTATAATAATTTTAGAATTTTATTGTATTTTTATACTTTGTATTATTATAGTGTAACATATTTGTCAAGTATCCAGCACTATTTTACCATCATATTCAAATGCAGTTCAATAGTTTGTGAGTGTGATGACTATATATTTACCTGATGATGGCTTTAAAAGCATTAATATGTAGCTAAGGTAATATTGACCTCGACCATCTCGTTGTTGTGTTGCCACGGATTCTAATAATGATTTTTGTACAATAAACACAACAGGATGCACGCAATGAAAAAAAAAATGTTACCCGTTTACTTATGTCTTTTTTTAAATTAAGTCTGAATTTTCTTCATTTTTGTAAGACGTAAGAGAATTAGACAATTTTCATTTATTGAAAATGGTCTAATAATCTTCCTATGACATGTCATGATCCATTAAAAATAGGCGTTATTTAATTCCGTGAGCCTCCTTATGCGTGGCGAACAATTTTTGCATACTATTTTAAGATAATTATTGTTCATATCGAATAATGTGTAGCAGAGTAACGTTGAAAGTTGTGTCAGATTTGTATATACGTTTCACACGTCAACTTATGAACCATTGAAGCATTTAAGTAAAATTTGGACGCTATTGCTGAATGAAAATTGTTCTTCGACGATTTCTTAGAGCCGGCAAATAACATCCAGGCCTATATGAACATGAATATCTATATCTTTTTGTATTCATTAACACCCTGTCACAGAAATCCTACCAGACACCAAATAATTCGTTATTTTAAATTAATTCAACATAGGAACAAGCCAGAGGGGCAATCCCTGAAGCTAGAAAGGTTTGAGAAGAATCCTCACAATGAAACGTGGTGGGACACAGCGTTGCTAGGCAACTGGACGTTAAAAACCTCGCGACCGAATACGTGTACACGCAAGGCAACAAGGTCGAATTCCTTCACCGTGACCCTGCGAGTCGTAGGAGGTGAGGAAAAGGGAAGCCTCAAATCTGAGATAGTAAAATATGGTCGCGAGTGGAACTCGGACCCGAGAAACACTACGGTTGCAAGGGCCAGCAGCATATGCAAAAGACAGACCCGTCCTCTGGTCAGAGAGGGCGCCCCATAGAAAAAAGACCGTAACTGTCAAACGGTAATAATTAATATCTGGTCATGAGCCCCAGATGGGGCTCGGCACCAAGACTTACTGACTGACTGACTGACTGACCGTCAGTCGCAATGTGACTTTGACTTTGAACAGATATCAGTATATGGGAGTATTGGGGAGTATTTGAGAGTGTTTAAGTATTTAAGTGATAGCCACGGGAAGTTCGTCGTGTGAAGACTTGGTTTGTGATTGGAAGATTTTATTTATATGTAATACTTGGAGTGATTTGAAGCGCTAGTTTCTGTGTTTTAATTGCATTAGCAGGAGAAGACTAGGTGTGTGCGTGTAACCGTGATTTGTGAGGTGTATGAAAATCAGCAAAAGCGCTGTATTTGAGTGTGATTTAGAGAGGTTGTAACCGAAGTGCTAATAAATCCAATCATCCGAACTATAACCCGTAATTTCATCACGCGTACCCCCATACACGTGACAATAATATGGTGCTTAATGAGGCGAGTATTTTGTGCTATACTCTTTATTGTGTCAAAGAAGGAGGGTTCCGAGAAGTCGAAGTATCTTGTTGTATTTAACATTATACCTACTATCAGTATATCTGTCTGCACCAGCTTTGTTTAAAAACTCACAGATCGAAACACATTGT